AAGCCTGATACAGCGTCTTTGGGTCCTTACCATCATGAAGAGGACCACTAAAAGGCAATGGAAAAGCATAAGCATCGAGCACTACTTCACTTTTTAAAACGATCGGGAAAACCAATCGAGGACTACGTTAATGCATTAGCGGAAGTGGTGGATGATTTGAATGATGCATATGATCAATTGGATTCCAAATGGCGACTAGGAACTGAAGAATTTTTGAAGTTGATGATCCTTGATGGTTGTTTCATTTTGGAAATAATGCGCACTTGCGCTCCGGTTTTTAATGACTACGATCCCAATGATCCCATCTTCAGCGATCATGGAAGGCTTTACATTGTGCCATACCTCAAACGCGACATGTTGAAGCTTGAAAATCAGTTGCCTCTGCTGGTTCTTGAGAAGCTAGTTGAGGTCAATATTCGTAGCATTTGTTTTATTTAAGTCTATTTCTAACTAATGCATGATTTATTTTTTATTCAGAGAGAAGATGGGATTGTGATTAGGCTCATTCTCAACTTCTTTGATCAAAAACGTGTTGGAAACATGGGAAAATGCCTACACATTTTAGATGTATATCGGAAGAGCTTATTGGAAGAACCTGACAAGAACGTTGACCATAAAGTTCACCAAGGTGAAGACGAGATCATCCGGTCTGCTACCGAGCTTAACGAAGCTGGTATCCAAATCCAGAAAAGTGAAACAAAAAGCCTAAAAGATATCTCGTTCCATAGAGGGGTGCTCAAGCTTCCACCAATAATGGTCGATGATACTACTGAATCAATATATCTAAATCTAATAGCATTTGAGCGACTTCACGTCAATGCAGGGAATGAGGTGACTTCCTACATCTTTTTCATGGACAACATCATCGACAGTGCTGGAGACGTTAGCCTCCTGCACTCGAGTGGCATCATCCAGCATGCTATTGGCAGCGACAAAGCTGTTGCTGAATTATTCAATTCTCTATCCAAGGATGTTACGCTAGATCCTGAGAACAGATTAGCAAAAGTGCATAACAGTGTCAGTTACTACTGCAAGAAGCCATGGAATGCATGGCGGGCTGATATCATGCACAACTATTTTAGAAATCCATGGTCTATTCTTTCGGTCATTGCAGCAATATTTCTTTTTGCTCTAACCACAATTCAGACGGTATACAGCGTCTTAAGTTACGCCAATTCCTCATCCAAATAATCCCTGTACATGGCAACCTCATTCTCAAGGAATTAACCCTCGGCTTTCAGATCACAATTTATTTTCTCGACTTTCTTTGTTTTGCTTTTTGTTCGATTGATCAATTGAATAATATATTTTGCCTGCAGTTTTCCAGCCTTCGTTATACAATTTTTCCCTGCCTGCTGTTGAACCACACTGGTGTTTTTAGATAACACAAGTCTACCTAATAGACCGAGGGATAATTTTAGGATAAAATTTCTCTCTTATATGAGTTCTACTGTTGCATCAACGACTATAAATCTTTCGATATTTGTTTTTCACATTCTTAAGATTACTGTTCTAGAAAATAAGTTTAGACTTGTATTCTAGAAAGCCAAGTTTTATTAGTAAACACTAACTTTAAGAATCATGTTTGACAAAATAAGTAAAATAAAAGCAAAACTCACTTTTAAGGGTGGTTAAGCACGTTAATAGATCATTCTAGGTGTAATTCTGGAGGTAAGATAATATTCCCTACCTATTGGGTTTTACGTGGACGCGACAGTGCTTACTGAGAAAAAAAATGAGGCACACACACTGAGAAATTGAGGGAAGAAGCATTGCTTCGCTTCCAATTTTTGTCTTTTTGGTTTTCCAATGTAGGACAACTTTTTTAGACATTCATCGTGTTTTCACATAAAGGATGTTAGAAAACAAGTCAATCTGCAATAACTTCGGAGATATAACTTATACCACTTGTTATGAATATTAAAGCTTATTGACCTCGTTTTTCACAATGGCCCGTGGACAACAAATTTCAGTCCACTAGCGTCCATGCAAGCAAATTCTAGCATATTTTGACAGGAGATACGTTCGGAGATGATCCTGTGTCCAATCCCGAAATTCGTTCGATACATATGACCAGCCCACGAGCGTAGGAGTTCCCTCCTTCAAGGAGTCAAGTTCGAGGGAACCGAGTCAAAGAGCCGAACAAGAAAAATGGATACCAACCCGGACTTGCTAGAGAGCTACCTGGACTGGAGTCTGTCATGGACGTGGGAGATGCTCTACGACACAAGATGAAAACGTTCGAACACCGATTATGTCATCAAGTATGATGGAAACAAACGATCAATCATAAATAACTCCACCGAAATAGAAAGAATCCAAACTCAAGCTTATAAAAATGAAATAAGCTCCGGATAATGACGTGTCATGTTCAAGAGCAAAGTTGAGGTCTTACCTCCCACAAGATCCTATAAAGAATAAGCTTTACTAAAAGGCATCAAAAAATTAAATCTATTATATAATACTAAGAGTTTGAGGTGTTATAGTTTATCCCTTAAAATATAGCTAACAAAAAATTTGAAATTTATAAACTCCATATGTCCACATGCGATGAAAACTCTAAAATAAAATACTTTATAATTTAAAAATGTTATCCATTGCAAAAACGTGTCCTATATGGAGAAATAAAATACTGAGATTGATTGATATGAATATATAAATTGCAAATAGTTCCTATGATGACGAGAAAAATACAAAAAGTGCAGTCCATTAGACGATTATCGATAACTCATTTTTTTCATATATATTTTATTTATATTACTTAATAAAAGTTAATTCATACAATTAAATGCTATTAGGAATCCTTATTTACGTGACATTATCTTCACTATAACATTTTGTTGTTCTTTCTCTGATTGTCAAAACTACATCATTCGATTCCAAAAACTACTGTCAAGTAAGATATATACCATGTCAGTTGCTTCCATTTCAATATTGTCGAAAAACAAGCTATATTTATTACGTCTCGTATTTGAAGCTCCCAGTGAAGCCACGTGGAGCCCAAGTGAAAGTCACATCGAAGTCACGTAAAGGCAATACATCTAAAAGCCGACGAGATCAAAATCCGAAGTTCTTTGTTGAAACACTCTTTCATCTGGCCAATCCTATATTCATTCATTAGGTGATGGAATGTGTTACAACACCTACATACTATATTGCACTTAATGGGAGCATCCATGATTTCATCAAAGGAAAGAAAGGTGGTCATCAAGGTGACCCCCTCTCTCCATTCTTATGAATTCAACTTCCATCCTAAATGTGCAACTCTAAGGATCACGCACTTGACATTCATGAATGAGTTAATGTTATTTGCTAGAGAGGATATTATATCAGTTGGTATCTTAATGAATTGCTTAATTAGCTTTCGTGATATGTCGGGACTTAAAATGAATATGGACAAGTCTCGCTTGTACACTACGGGAGTTCATGGGAAAGAGTTGGAGGATATTCTTGCATGAACAAACATCCCAAAGGGTGCCCTGCCATTTTGCTACTTGGGTATCCCACTTGTAGTGGGAAAAATCAAAGATTAGCACCTATGACTCCTTCATTAACAAGATTTCATTCTATATTGGTGCACGATCAAGAGCTTCATTGTAATATGCGGGGAGAGCAGAGCTTGTGAGATCCATTCTTCAAGATGTGAAATGCTCTTGGTTATCCATATTTCCTATACCGATGCCTCCAAAGTCATTGGTCTTTGCCTAAACTTCCTATGGGGATACAAAAAACCATTAGTGGCTTGGAACAATATTTGCTTACCAAAGCATGAAAGAGGGCCTGGATTTAGAGATATTAAAAGTTGGGATTTGTGCTACTCTAAAAAACACTTTAGAACATCCATAGTAAAAATGATACCTTTGGATTAAATGGTCAATCAATTGCACATTCGTGGGACGAACGTTCGGGAATGCATGGTGAGAAACGACAACTCTCCCCTACTTAAAAAGTGTCAAAAATTAGGGACAACAGTATAGGACCCGTACAGTGCGTTCAGGCTGGAATACTAAAGCTGATTGAATGGCCAGTGACGAACATATTCTGCATCAAGGCAACTTATGAATTTTTTCAGGCCGAAGGGTATTATGGCAGTTTGGGCACCTACTGTTCGGAATGCTGCCATCATCCTGAAGTATGCTTTCATCCTTCAGTTAGGAGTTCAGTCCATATTATTAACTAGAGACAAGTTACAACAAGAACTGCATCTTTTGTGGAGAGACAGAAGAAATTGCACAACACTTCTTTTTTTCTTGTACATTCAGTAACTCAATTTGGGGGCAGATTCACAATTGGCTGGCCATTATATATAATTTGTCTACTTTATCAAGCTCATTGAAATGGATAAAAAAGGAAGCTCAAGGAATGACTTGGCAAGGTAAAGTCAAGGAGAATTGCTATCGCTACAACCGTTTATCACCTATGGATGGCATGGAATAAGACAATTTTTGAGAATCTAAGGCCACAAGTTGATTGCATTGTAAGACTGATTAAAATATACGTATATAAAGTTGTGATTTCTTGGAATCTCCATGTTTTAATTTTTATTTTAAGCCCTTAGCATTGGATCCAAAACATATGTATACAAAGTTATAATTTTTTTGTATCTCCATTTTTAAATTCATTTTAAGCCCTTAGCATTGGGTCCCTAACTATTATCGTTTGTACATCTTTTATTTTGTTTTGCCAAGTACTTGTAATTGTCACTTCAATTTTATTTGTCCAGGCATGCCCGGTATATATGTATATGAGTTTTGATCAAAAGAATCTTACATTTACCGATAAAAAAATAAATAAATAAAAGGGGGCCACATCTCAACACTGTTGCCACTTCTGCATCCTTCAAAAAATACCTTCCTAGGATTCTTTTGCATATGCTGCTAAAAAATGCTCTCCTCACTGCGAATTATGTCTTCTGCGCCAATAAATCCTTTCTTGTCATATGTGGCTGCATTCGAATTAAGTCTTAGCTCCCCTTCAATCCTCGTACCTGCTCTTGGTCTTCGACTAGCCCCTGCCGTGATACTGTCTCATTGCATCAGTAATTTCCTTTAGAGTGCATTTGATTGTGAGCATACAATTTTTATGGAAGGAAAACAAATTGTAAACAATTCAATTATCTAAAACTTGTTTGTATGGAAATTATTAATTTAATGTATTTGAATGATTTAGTTTTCAACCTAGAAAATATGATACTTGTCTATTTTTTATTGGTGGGTAAATAAAGAGAGTGGATAGATGAGTGAGAGAAAGAGAGTGTGAATTACTTGAAAAATAAAAACTACATATTCCTAAAGAAAATATACTTCTTATTTTTTAGGAAAATATAGTGTCATGTAAACAAAAGTTGAAAAATACTTTTCATG